ATTGTTCCATGTGTTAAATATACTTTTTGTGTTTGATTTTTGCTCTTGAAATCTTGTTTTTAATCCATCTAGCTTTTAATACATAACCAAGTATGATTTTAAATTTTTAATATGTGTGGAGTTTGTGGAGAAGTGGAGTAATAAGCATTGTTCTCGCAGGCCGCAGCTTTATCTCAAACAGTTTGCTGCTTGCTGCTCTCGAGAAGCCGGGGTCTCCGGCATGTTAGACCTAGCAGACCCTGCCAACGAGACACGGCTGCCAAGAGAAAGGTAAAAAAAAAAAAAAAAAAAAATTTTTTTTAAGGTGAACGGAACGGTTGCCGCCACCCCTGTTAAGTTTCCGCCTTCTAGTTTTCCGCCTTTTTTTTCGTTCCTCTATAGCCAACCTAGGGTCTAATTTGGGCCTGGGACTGATTGGGACGAAGAACCCATTTTTAGCGGAGACTCGTTCACCGCCCCGCATATCCATAATAGGAATGAATGTCTTTAACTTAAAGAAATCTTAGAATAGAAAATACAAAATATAAAAATAAAAATTTTTTTTTCATTTTTTTTCAGTATATATAATAACTAGTTTAATTATCTGGAAATGTCTGATTTAGTAACTGAATATGCAGTTTCAACTGAGAACTTGTCTTATTTGTTTCCAAACAAGAAGGTTGGTTTAGCAAATATAACGTTAGCAGTTCCTAAACATTCAAGGGTGCTAATTGTAGGACCAAATGGGGCAGGGAAATCGACATTATTAAAAATATTAGCTGGTCAAAAACTTATTAAATCTGGTAAGATTTTGATCAATGGGGTTGATCCATTTGCATTCAATAAGCCAGCTCCACTGTCACTGAATAGTACTGGTGCACCAAGGCAAATGGGTATCACCACGTATTTAGGTACTGAATGGGCAAATAATGAAATAACTAAAAGAGATGTTCCTGTAACAGTTCTTATTGGTTCTATTGGTGGTGATTTATTACCAGAACGTCGAGATTTATTGATTGATCTATTGGATATTGATATAAGTTGGAGAATGAACCAAATAAGTGATGGTGAGCGTAGAAGGGTTCAATTAGCAATGGGATTATTAAAACCATGGAATTTACTCTTATTGGATGAAGTTACCGTTGATTTGGATGTCTTAGTTCGTAATAGATTACTAAGCTTTTTAGCTAAAGAAACTGAAACAAGAGATGCAACTGTTATTTATGCAACACATATCTTTGATGGATTAGGAGGGAATTTTGGTGATAAATATAAGAGTTGGCCCACAAGTATTGTTCATTTAAGTGGTGGGAAAAAATTGCAAGATTTTTCAATTGATCAAATTGAATATGTAAACGAAGTTCTGGAAACTTTTGATTCTTGTTGTAAACGGAAATTTGAACAAGCTCTTCCAATTGAAAAGAGCGAATCAAATGATGAAAAAATAATCAAGATTGCAAAAGTAAATAGTTTACACCCATTGGCTTTAAAATGGTTAAATCAAGATTTGATTCTGCGTGGTGAGAGGAGTGAGGATAAGACAAGACCTAAGTGGACTGATTTGGAAAAGGAAATGGAATCGAAGTACTACGACGATAAAGGACGCGTCACAGATTATTTCAAAACAACAAGAAGCGTCAATTGATGAATTTGTTGGAAAATAACGAACGA